TTTTTTTTTTTTGAGACAGAGTCTTACCGTGTCGTCCTCGAGAGAGTGCCGTGGCATGAGCTCACAGCAACCTCAAACTCTTGGATTTAAGCGATTCTCTTGCCTCAGGCTCCCAAGTAGCTGGGACTATAGTTGCCCGCCACAACACCCAGCTAGTTTTTTGTTGCAGTTGTCATGGTGGTTTAACAGGCCCAGACTGGGTCCAAACCCACTAGCTTGGTGCGTGTGGACGGGTGCTGAGCCAGCCTTATTAATTCTTATCTTTGTTACCAATCTGCTTTTATTCCAAATTAATAAAAGGGGGGTAAATTAGGGCTTATTTGATTTGTGATTTGGAAACTTAGTAGGAATGATTTTCTTTGTACCGTATCTGGTGTTTATCCTTTTCTGGTGGCTCTACAATTTATACTCTCTACAACTTGAAACTTGTATTTGTTTTGGATAACATGTTTCTCTTAAGTATTTGTTCTTCATTATCCTTCCTGGTGGGATAGCACTGAAAACAAAAATAAGCATTTTCCAAGAAGACCTCTCAATAGCTAGATCACTGTTAAGGAAAGCTTTTCTGACAAAATAAGCTGATTGCACTGGGTCTTTGAATCTTAGTGTTCACGGGAGAGGTTTAGGATTAGGATAACAATATAAGCATTTCCAAGAAGAGTTCAACCAAGAGCGGTAAAGTCCCTCCTTCCGTTGGTAAACTACCATAAAAATTAATGTGCAGTACTTGGCAGTAAAGCCCCAGATCCCAGAAAGCCCATTAGGCCAGTTTCTGTACCAGAAACTCACTGAAACAGCTGTCCTGGAAATACATGCGAATTCGTCCAGTGGTGAGAGCTAGATGTGTATGTGAAAGCAGCAACTGCAAAAAAGGCAAGATACATGTGCAAGGATCTAAAAGTTACATAAGGCTCAGCGCCCGCCCATAGCACAGTGGTTACAGTGCCGGCCACATACATCCAGGCTGGTGGGGTCAAACCCTGCCCCAGCCAGCTAAACAACAATGACAGCTACAACAACAATAGCAAAAACTAGCCAGGCATTGTGGCCGGCGCCTGTAGTCCCAGCTACTTGAGAGGCTGAGGCAACAGAATTGCTTAAGCCCAAGAGTTTGAGGTTGCTGTGAGCTGTGACGCTATAGCACTCTACTGAGGATGACATAGCGAGACTCTGTCTCAAAAAAAATAATAAAATAAAATAAAAGTTACATATATTCAGATCTAGACTGCTACTGCTTAGACTTCTATTCCTACTGAGCTTCCCTCATCCTCATATTTGGTACTCTGTCATTTGCTACCTGATAGATGGCTGGAAATTCAGCCAGAGGCTTCAGCCTGGCCAGGGTGGGTACATGGAGGTGTGAGCAACATGTGTCCATCAAGTGGCTGTCAGAAAGTGGCAGTGAGATGTCTGGCAGGATGCACAACTGGCTGTTCCATCTAGAGAATAGCAAGAATGAGGCAGGCAAAACAGATGAGTGGAGAAGGAAATTAGAGGCTCAGCGCCCATAGCTCAGCAGTTAGGGTGCCAGCCACATGCATGGGGTCTGGTGGATTTGAACCCCGACCAAGTCTGCTAAACAAACAAACAAATAAAAATAGCTGGCTATTGTGGCAGTGCCTGTTGTCCCAGCTACTAGGGAGGCTTAGGCAAGACAATTGCTCGAGCCCAGGAGTTTGAGGTTGCTGTGAGCTGTGATGCCACTGCACTCCACTGAAGGCGACATGGTGAGACTCTGTCTCAAAAAAAAAAAAAAAAAGAAAAATAGAAAAGGAAATTGGAGAGTACAATACTGGTACCGTGAGAGCAGCGTCATCCTTAGGAAGACACTGGAGTTGGGAGAAATGTGCCCCCTGGCTTCCAACCTTAGGTTGTGCTTCAGCTGTTAGCCTTGGCCACGCTGGCACTGCTCAAGGACTGCAGCACAGACATTTATAGCACTGTGCTGTGTTAAGTTCCTCCTTGGAGCCAGAGGCAGGCAGCTGTTCTAGACGTAACTAATATGAGACCGCCGTATTTTACTGAACATCTCAATATTGGCTGAAATGTGCCAATTCTGAAGATCTTTTAGGAACACATGGGTTTTGGATGGCAGGCTGGGAGTGTGCTGGGGGACGTGGTAACTCAGAAGGAGCTCAGCTGGGCGCCTGCTTCACCCAGAGAGGCTGGACGCTTCCTGATGCTGTGTTTGCCAAGAGGAGAGAGAGCAATGTGTGTGTGCGGTCGGTGAGAGTGCTCTGGCTGTAACAATAAGAGGTGACCCTGAGGGGAAGGGTGTACACTGAGACAAGGACAAATGTGGGCCAAGGTGCCTAAGTGTAGCCTGCCCAATGAGTTAAAGCCTTCCCTTTCGCTGGCGCCTTCGAAGTCTGCCACCGGAGCCCTCTGGGGGCCGGCCCTGGCTTCTCCTATTGCAGAGGCAGTGGGAGGCTGATGGGGCGGGAGCTGTGACCGAGCTCCCTCCCTGGCGGGGCCTCTGCCAATCGCAGAGGAGAGAGCAGTGGCCGGACACACCTCCTCCCGGCTCTGCAGCAGAACGGCTGGGCCCTCTGCCTGGTGGCTCACTGGAGCTCAGCTCCCCCTCCTGCCATCTTCCGTTGCAAAGCATTTCTGGGAGCTGCATGTGGGTGACGCAGCAGCATTGTTCGCAGGCACAGGAAGCCGCGGCTGAGCTGAAGGGCTCGAGAAGGAGCCCAGAGTGCTGCAGCTGCTACCCCTGGGTTAGAGCCGGACTGCCCTGCCTTATGGGCCTTGGGAGATTACAGAATTTTCAAGTAAATCAGGATTTTCTTAGAGGCAGCAAACCTAACTCCTTCAGGACAACTTCCAATACAGAAAACAAAACAAAGACGCTGGGGAAACTTCACCCAAGAGCCTCGGCAGCTCCAGAGCGACAAGAAACGAAAGGTCAGGCGGTTGGTTGGCAAACCCTTTCTGGTTTAGGGTGTGTGTAACTGCAGGGACTTTTGTCTCAGCAAAGAGGCAGAAAAACTGGCTACCAGGCGAGTCAGGACAATGCTTATGTTACTTTATACTGCTTGAGCCATCATTGCACTTGTTCTCTCACCTGGTGGGATATGTTTTGAATCGGGTTGCTTGGCTTTTCTTTGGAATCCTTTTCCCCTCTCTGCCCAGGCGCCCTGTTTTCCTTCCCTTCCTGTGATCTCTAGGGTGTGGGCCTGTTTGAATGTTCTCCTGAATGCCTGGAGCCTAGATAGGCGTCAGCCTTTCCCACACTCCACCCCCGCTTCCCCATCCCAAACCCCCTCTGGTGAAGGGTGGTGGCTTCTTTATATGGTTTCTTGTTAGGGCCTCTGCTGGAGTCTGCCTTTTTTGATGAAAGCAAAGTGTGCTTGGTTGAATGGCCTCAGCAAAATAAGGCTTGGAAGGAAATCTGCATTTCCCTCCACACCCACACATACCCCAGTAACTGAGTCGAGTTATGTGTGAACAGCTGCCCACACACATCCCACAGTTTTTCCACCTACCCTTGCCTATCCTCCCCACAAAAATCTTGCAGGTAGAATTAGACTGCCTTGGTGAATAGTTAAGTTCCTTTTCTACTCTATTGAACAGTCTTGGGTCTTGCTATGCAGTCTGTTTTGTTGAAAGTGGAAAGTCCCTGTTTGTGGACAGTTCAGTTCTCCTCGGCAGAGGAAATGGGCAGAGTCCTCTTCCTCGGCAGTGCGATGTGGGGGAGGGGAGCTCTGCACTCCCTAGCACACATTTTGAATGGACTTGAATTTTTCACCCTAGGGAGATTAGGAGCCCGTAGCAGAGCCTTGTCCCATGTGGCACCGCACCTCGCCTCTTCACCCCCACGCAGTATGGTGCTAACAGGAGGCTCCAGAAAAGGATGCCATAGCAACTTGAAGTAAATAAAACGTCTGCAAATGAAATCCGTTTGGGGGAAGGTGAAAGGCATCTGGAGACTTGGCAAGAAGGGATCTCCATAGCGGAGCTTTCTGGGTATGAGTTAAAGGGTCTAAGTCCCAACTCAGAGATTTGGATTTGGAGCATGAAAATATTTAAAAGTCCTGTTCTTCAGGCACAGCACAAAGAATTATGAGAATGATTATTAAAGGTAGCCCAGTCTTGTTAACCTTTCCCGGATCAAAGTTTAGTTTTTGTGGAAACAATTACTGTCCTGTACATACCTAAGGCAACCAGGAGTGTGACTTGGCTCCCACATTTAAAGTTCTTTTGCTGTTGACATTGCTTTAGGGCTCGTGAGGTTAGAGGAAGAGGGATTTTATTATGCTTGAAGGTTTGGGTTCAGAAATTTCTGTCTAAAACATAAAAGCCTTGTTTCAGAATAACAGTCAGCCAGTGTGATTCACTTAAGTGGCAGTTTCTTACTGTAGCATTGTTCCGTAGTCATTCAGTCTTGATTGATTAAAGCCATGAGAACTATTCCTCCTAAGATTTTTTCTGCCCCATGTATAGGGATAAAGGCAAATAGCAGAGTGTGCACACACATATGTATGTGTGTGTGTGAGCAAGTGAGAGAGACGGATTTGAGATTGAGATTTCTGTAATCAGCCATAGAAGAACGGAGTCCTGGGTTGAATCAGGACATTAAGGCTCTGCTGTTCTCATTAATTCCACATTAGCCAATCATTTTTGTGCCACTTTGCTCACATCTGCAAAACAAATGCAGTACTTATCTGGTAATATTCACTAATTGGTGGAGAAAAATGAAGGGGCAATATAAAGTCTTATGGTCATATAGAGAACTGTATGGTAAGTAAAACTTGTTGCCCCATTAGCTAGTTGCTTCCGTGTAAAGTATTAGTACAATGAGTATACAAGTAATGGGTTGGGAGCAAAGGTAAGTTTGAAGTCTTGATAGTACTGCAGTAGTCTTAAGTTTGAGTTTTCTTTTTCATCTGTGATGTACTTGTTTTGTAGTGAGTATATATGAAGGGAAAATACAGACAGTTACCAGTTGTAAGCCTGCTTTCCTTGGTGTTTCAGGGAACTGAGACTGAGTCTAGACAGTGTTGAGAGTAGCTGAGTTTTTGTTCACTGTGCTCTGCGTTTTCTTTCTTTCCTCTCCTACCTTTAGATTTTGTTGGAGGAGCTTGCCAACAGTGATCCCAAGTTAGCCCTCACTGGAGTCCCTATTGTACAGTGGCCAAAAAGGGATAAGGTAAGAAACTTCTGCTCGATCCTCAGGCTCCTTAAGCCTTTTGCTGGTTGGTTATTACTATCCTAGGAAGAAAAAGAACTAGAGGCAGACAGCTTTGGGTGCATTAATACAAACTGACAGAAAATCATTACTCAGTTCTATTTTGACTCTTAGGTCAGGATAATTGGCTGTCTTTGGAGGTGACTCTCTTAATAGAACTATCAAACTGGGAGGCTTCCCTTCACAGTCAGACACCAAATTGTCCATTTGTTCACCAGAATGGATCAGCTCCTATCCTTCTAAACCAGTGACTCAATAATCTTCATAGATATGATTTAAAACTAGTCAAAATAATTACATATATACCCCAAAGATCAGTTTTTCTTGGTCATAATGAGATTATGCTCTCAAGATTCCTCTTATTTGGACTTTTCCATATGGAATTGCAAGGAGAAGATAGGAATTACTATGGTCAGCTAGTAAATTTTCAGTTATTAATTTTTATTTCATTTCTTCATTTAGGTCCTATGTAATTTTTCCCATACATCCTCTGCAAGGCTGTGCATTAAAATAAATGATAGCATTCTGATTCTGGCCATGAGTTTAGCAAATAAATTAGGCCCGTCTTTATTGTTCGGTAGCTGAAACTTGCAAAGCCATCACATTCCATGGTGTTTAGGCAGAATGTAAAGGTATGGAGTTGAATGATTAAATTTTTAAAGGACTACCTTCTCCTTCCTAGGGAGAGGAGTCCCATTTGGCCTCTGCTTGGCCATAGGGGAATGCCTCAAAACAATTCATTCAATTCTGGCTGTTGAATATTTTGTGTCAGAAAAGTGCTTATGACATGGTGGGAAATTGAAATAGAAGACATTATCCTTGTCCTTGAAAATGTCACTAGCAGGGTAAATATCAGTGCTAAAATGACAAACATGTAACTGAGAGATGTATTCCATACTTAGAAACTGGAGTGTCTGCTATACACCAGGTCATATGCTTGGATTTGGAGGACTAAAGAAATGAGCAAGACCACTTTCACCCCTAGATTGTTTATTGTCTTGTTTAGAGTATGTTCTGAGTAGTCCATATAAGAAAATACTGGAGAGCCACTGGGGTGATTTCAGTGCATGGCAGTTACATAGAGAACTTCAAGGAAGGGTGAATCTGACAGCTCTTGAAAATGAAAGAGATGTGGCTAAAGTAATAGGCCAAAGGTCTAGCACAAGGACTGGCAGGCTTTTTTGTAAAGGTCGAGGTAGTAAATATTTTAGGTTTGTATGCCATACAGTCAGTCATAGCTTCTTAATTCTACCATTACAGCATGAAAACAGCCATTTTTTAAAAGTTTATGCCAGTAAAATTTATTTATAAAAACAAAGAATGAGCACATTTATTTGCCCAGGCCTTAGTTTGCTGTGCCCTGGGCTAGGTACACTAGCATGTAATCTTCTACCCTCTCCAGCCTTGAACAACATGATATGTTTGACCTCACTGCTTTCTCTTTCCAGCTTAAATTCCCGACCAGGCCAAAGGTACGGGTTCCTACCATCCCTATCACAAAGCCTCACACTATGAAACCAGCTCCACGGTTAACACCTGTGAGGCCAGCTGCTGCCTCCCCCATTGTGTCAGGAGCCAGGCGGAGACGAGTGCGATGTCGAAAATGCAAAGCCTGTGTGCAAGGAGAGTGTGGTGTCTGCCACTACTGCAGGGACATGAAGAAGTTCGGGGGACCGGGACGCATGAAGCAGTCCTGTGTGCTCCGACAGTGCTTGGCGGTGAGTGATCTACTGGGTAAAGAGTTTTAGGGAGGAGCTGTGGTGCCAAAGGAACTGAAATACCCGTAGGGTAGAGTTAAAGAGGTTTCAGAAAGAAAAAATTATGCTCTTTTTAGCTTTCTTCATTTTGTTCCTTTTCGCTCTGGGTAAAGAAGGAAAGTATTTAGCACTGAAAATGGTCTAATACAGTCTTTTGGCCGTGTCTAATTTTCAGACAATAAAGCAGCATTTGAAGGGCAAATCACTACCTTCTTCCCCCTCTTTAAGTAGATTAGAAAGGACCTGTGAGGCCAAGGACAGGCAGACTGAAAAAACAAGTCTCTTTTGGTCTCTAGTGGTAAGGCAGTTGAGTCCACAGTCGTCTCCCCAGTCATTTTCCCCACCAAAGCCCTCTCTCCTTTCCACCCTGCCTCAAGGTTTCCTAAGTGTTTACTAGAGAACTATATGAACCAAACTCCATCTACAGTTTAACAGAAATTGAAATAAGGATCTAAGCCTACCCTTTTGGTTTATATCTTTGTCCTCTTGTAGCCCAGACTGCCTCACTCAGTCACATGTTCCCTCTGTGGAGAGGTGGATCAGAATGAGGAGACACAAGACTTTGAGAAGAAACTTATGGAATGCTGTATCTGCAATGAGATTGTTCATCCTGGCTGCCTCCAGGTGAGGAGAGGCCTGAGGGGTCCCTGAAGTCCCAGCTGATAGAGTGTTTAAAGGTACTGAGTGCAGTAACAGAGTAGAACACCCATTGTGGAAGGCCACCAGCAACTCTGGTGGGGGTCGTCAGCTTTGTGGTCACGCAGTGAAGTGGGCTCACATCGCTTATTTCAGATATCTGCCATGTCCCAGGTACTGTGTTAGACTCTGGAAATAGAAAAGTACACAAAAGAGGCCTGGTTCCTACCCTTGGAGCTTCTGTTCTGGACTCTCTGCACAGTGCGTTTGGAGTCCTCCAGCCATCGTAAAGGACATAGTGTGTTTTGGATACTTTAAGCCTAAAGGCATCTCTGCTACATTACCTCAGGGTATCTCTTGATGCTTCATGTCAGTTCCTGAGGGGCAGTGAGAGTAATAATATCAGCTACCATTTAATGAGTGCTCAGTCTGTATCATGCTCAGTGCAGAGCTCAGAAGCTCAAAGTAGTAAGGAAGTTCACACCTCAGCCTCAGAGATTGAGTCAGCTGACCCAGTATGAGCCCTGTAGTCCCAAAGCTCCCCGGGTGGCCCTAGTGTGTGGCCTAGTGGAGAACTGCTGTTACACATGCATTCTCTTTAACCTTCAAGGCAAGTGAAGTTTCATCTGCCTTATTTTTTCATATTTCTTAAAGTGTATGGGTGCTAGTACTTTCTTGGACTTTCCAGAAAGTGTCATCTATATCATGACTATCACCTGGCCGATGATAATTACCTATATGACACTGTCATTTATTTATTTTGTAGAGACAGAACCTTACTTTATTGGCCTCAGTAGAGTGCTGTGGTGTCACACAGCTCATAGCAACCTCCAACTTCTGGGCTTAGGTTATTCTCTTGCCTCAGCCTCCTAAGTAGCTGGGACTACAGGCACCTGCCACAACACCTGGTTATTTTTTTGTTGCAGTTTGGCCAGGGCTGGGTTTGAACCCCCCACCCTCGGTATATGGGGCCAGCGCCCTACCCACTGAACCACAGGTGTCACCCCTATAATGCATAATTAATTTAATCCTTACTCCAACCCTATAAGGTAAATGTTGTATCCCTGACAGTTGTATATATGCCCACTTGACAGTGAGAACACTGAGTCACAAAGACTAGATCGTTAGGGTCTAAACCCACTAGACTTTGCTGTCAAGATTGGATCTGGTGCCATTGGCCTAAGACTACCTGGAGAGCACAGTGTCAGGAAAAGAGATACAAATTGACCCTCACTATCAGAAGTCTCATGGAGCCTAACTCAAGTAACCAAGAGTGAGGGTAGCCAGCTTCCCAGTGGCTGGGAATGGGTATTAGTGCCATTTGGGGCTAAGTAACCCTTTTTTTCTTCCCTGTGGACCAGTATGTTTAGAAATGGGTAACTCTTCCTGGCTATGTTATTGTTTGATTGAGGAGCTTAAGAGACAGACCTTTTTTCCAACATCTGTCTCTGCCTATAGATGGATGGAGAGGGACTCCTTAACGAAGAGTTGCCAAATTGCTGGGAATGTCCAAAGTGCTACCAAGAGGACAGCTCGGAGAAAACCCAGGTAAAAAAAATCTATTCAGACTTGCACTGTGACAAGAGGAAGCATCGAGTTTGGGAGATTGCTATACATTCACAAGGTCTCTCTGACCTGGGCAATTATTTTTGTTTGGTATGTTCATTATCTTTTTCCTTTGGTAAATTGTATTTACTTTGTTAGAGTTTTTAGTGTTTGGGCAGTAGGGGATGGGTTTGGTTTTTTTGTCTTACTAAATATTGTTCCACTTGGGATCTGCAAATTCTTGAGGTCCTTTTATACTCTGGGGTCCAAGGAGGACAGGAACCACAGCTGGGCCATTCAGGAGGGAAATGAGGCCAGCGGGATGTCTCCCGAGGAATGTAACTAGAGGGAGGCAGTGGCCTGAGGCAGACAGTAAATACAGTGGTGTACTTGAGTTTCCGGTTAAACAGGTTCACATTTTTGTCATGTTCACCTTTGTGGCCTCACAGAAAGCTGAAAGCCCTGCCCATCTCACATGCCCATATGTGTCTTACAGAGGCACCTCCTCCCTTAGAATGGACCAGCACAATGACCTTGGCCAGAGGAACTGAGGTTCTTGGTCCAGTGGTTGCCAGTAGTATGAGACTCACAAGGCAAGACCTGCTGAGGGCACGTTCAGGAGAGGGGCTGGGCTGGTATCGATCCTCCTCCAGGGAACCTACACAGAAGTGGGGAAGAGGGCAGAAGGAAATTTTCTTCTTGTCTTTTTATTTCCAACCACTTAGACATTAAGGTGGTTGAATTTTTTCAGTCTATCTTTGAGAGCAAGGACCTCTAGAGTTGACCAGTGCCAAGGTTCTCCCAAGTTCTTGGACTAGTAGCTTCTACATTTGTCTTCACTAGTGGTGTTGAGTGTTTGTGTCTCTGTTGTGGCAGGTGGGTTGGCAGATGCTTTCCTTTAGTGTTTCCTTCTAATACATTGTAAAAACAAGCATCCAAAATGGTCATTCTCTTCCAACCACGGTTTTCAAAGAATGTTAAGTTGAAAAAGGAACAAAATAAAATGTCTCCTTCAGGAAAACCCTAAACTACTGAGATGCTTTCTAGTGGAACATGTTGACTGGGCTTTGTCACAGGATAGCCACGGGTGGATTTCAGGAAAGGACAAGTGTCTGGAAAGTGACAGTGCTGCAGGATGAGGTTGTGGACTCCTGTGGGATTCCTCACTGCAGTCCTGAGCAGATCTTCCTGTGGCAACCCATTGTCTTGTGGAGGTTCGCATTCTCTGCTCTGTTACTTATGTGGGGGATGGAGTTGAAGAAGCAGCCTGTTAGAGCCAAGTTCAGATACTGGTAGAGCTAGAAGTGAGGGGTGTTTACTGCTGTCAGACTTGGCGTCCTGGTTCTAATGGTATACGTGGGCTTTTTCTTCCACCTACTACTGAAATGAGACACATCTCTTGGGTGAAAGAGATATATTAGAAATAGGATTAAAAATTACATAGGGAGATAGACTTGTGGCCTCTTTAAAGAATATTTTTACCCAGGGAATTATATTCCAGAAATTGGGACAAGAGATGTATAAGGTGGGGAATGGATTCATGCAGCCCAAATTTGACTCTCATTCCTATGTACTTGAACACTAACCTTTTGTCACAGGTAGTTATCCCAAGTGACCCATGTGAAGGTTTTTGTTCTATAATCTGTGTTCTCTGGCATAGGCATGAGCTTAGGTGCTAATCTTTGCAGTCTGGATTGCAGACTCTGAGGGGATAACCCCCTCTACTAGCAGTGCCCTGTCTTCTCTCTAGTTTAGTGGTTCTCAGCCTTCCTAATGCTGCAATATATTTTCATTGTTAAAAAGGAGTCACGACCCACAGGTTGAGAACTGTTTCTCTAGTTCTCTGAGAGCAACAGTGAGGCTTCTTGGAGGATTTGGAAGAAAAGAGGCACTAATGTTGCTTTTTTGGGATTGCTTTGCAGAAGCGGAAAATGGAAGAGAGTGACGACGAAGCTGTGCAAGCCAAAGTCCTGCGGCCCCTGCGGAGCTGCGATGAGCCCCTCACACCCCCACCTCACTCGCCCACCTCCATGCTGCAGCTCATCCACGACCCGGTTTCCCCCCGGGGCATGGTGACTCGGTCATCTCCTGGGGCTGGCCCCAGCGACCACCACAGTGCCAGCCGTGATGAGCGCTTCAAACGGCGGCAGTTGCTGCGGCTGCAGGCCACAGAGCGCACCATGGTACGGGAAAAGGAGAACAATCCCAGCGGCAAAAAGGAGCTGTCTGAAGTTGAGAAAGCCAAGATCCGGGGATCGTACCTCACTGTCACGCTACAGAGGCCCACCAAAGAGCTCCACGGGACATCCATTGTGCCCAAGCTGCAGGCCATCACGGCCTCCTCTGCCAACCTTCGCCATTCCCCCCGTGTGCTAGTGCAGCACTGCCCAGCCCGAACCCCCCAGCGTGGGGATGAGGAGGGGCTGGGGGGAGAGGAGGAGGAAGAGGAGGAGGAGGAGGAGGAAGATGACAGTGCAGAGGAGGGGGGTGCAGCCAGGCTGAATGGCCGGGGCAGTTGGGCTCAGGATGGAGACGAAAGCTGGATGCAGCGGGAGGTCTGGATGTCTGTCTTCCGCTACCTCAGCCGCAGAGAACTTTGTGAATGTATGCGAGTGTGCAAGACGTGGTATAAATGGTGAGCAGGGTACAGGGGTCAGGAGCCAGGGGCATGGGAGCAGGTGGCAGGTTTTCCAAATGAAACGGCAGGCACTTTGCCATCTAAAGGCTTGTGGGGGTCCTGTGAGGAGTAAATTGGCCCCAGTCTGTTTCCCAGACTGTGGACCCTGTTTAATAATGTGGTCAGTTGTGCCTGCAGATATCATTATGGAAATTTGTCTTTTTGTTTGCTCCCCCTGCTCTATACCTTCCCATCTCTCTTTGGTTGGGGGGAGGGACTAATCTGGGGAGATGTGTTTGTACTAAAACTTCAGTCTTAGGGACTGAAAATTTCCCCCCAAGTCAGCTGGGCTCCTCCCATGTTGGTTAAGAGCCTATGATGTTCAATTGCTGTTCTGACGCTAATGACACAGATGAATACACTTAAGCCCCTGTCTCAGCTACCCCTCCGTTCAATGAGAGAAGTGGGGAAGCTTTTCAAAATGAATTTCAAGGTGCTTAACCTTTTTCTTAATTTCCCAAATCTGGATCACAATTCCTTTCTCTGGCAAGCGGGGTCCAGTTTTGAAGTTTACTTAATGAAACCTGGCATTTCTTCTCAAGTAGAAGAGATACTTAGGCAAAAATTCCCTAGTGATGATGAAAAAAAGAGCTTCCCAGCCACTATTATGGTTTTTCCTTAAGCTCTAGGATATACTTTATATCTGGGTCACTCTCAAAGTATCATAGAAGTTTCACATGCCATTAGTAGACTATTTTCAATCTTGACATCAAGGCCCTATTCTTTTTTTTTTTTTTTTTGAGACGGAGCCTAAAGCTATCCCCCTGGGTAAAGTGCCATGGCATCACGCTCACAGCAACCTCCAACTCCTGGGCTCAAGTGAGTCTCCTGCCTCAGCCTCCCAAGTAGCTGGGACCACAGGCGCCTGCTACAACGCCTGGCCATTTTTTGGTTGCAGCCGTCGTTGTTTGGCGGGCCTGGGCTGGGAATTCGAACCCACCACCTTAGGTGTATGTGGCTGGCACCTTAGCCACTTGAGCCACAGGTGCCGAGCCTCAAGGCCCTATTCTTTACAAACATAAATTATTTCCGAAATCCAAATTCATGTGAGATCTATCGAAATTCTCTTAATATTTCTTTTTTTAGGGCTAGTGGGCCTGTCTGGCTCTACCCCTGGGTTTCTAGGCCAAGGTACATCAGAATCCCATTATGTGCTGTTTCCCCTTTCCCTGCCAGCCTGGCAAGGGGGCAAAGGCTGTGAAATAGTAATCAGAAGCCTGCTTGGTGAAGCACTGTTTGTGGCCTATGGATTTGTAGACTAGAGTGGAAAAGCAGGTCTCTGCCTTTCAGTTCTGGTCTAGACTAGCTAGAAAATGTCAAGATAGTACAGAGGCAGAAAGCTGAGGGTGGGAGAGGAGACCTCATAAGGAGCCTCTTTCAGCCTGATACAATAATGCACTTAATGGTGAATTGTAGATGTGCTGAGTACCACTGTGCATCTCAGGCAGCTGCAAATGACTGGCAGGGGAAAGAATGGAGCAAGCCTAGTAGCTTCAGGCAGTAAAAATTCAAGAAATTTTTAAAAAGCTCCCTTATATACACTTCAGTGTGGAGCTGTGCCATAGTAATGCAAATGAAAGAGTTATGGTATATTTGCTGTGTCCCTAACAACTGTTTTTTTTTTTTTTTTCTCAAACCCTCCAGAATAAATTGGGAGCACTAGTCAAGTTATATACACTTGGCATATAGGTTTGCAAAGTGTCTAGTTGCTATAGAGATCAAGGCAACTTTTTGCCTATTCTCTGAGGCAAAAAATGTTAGGGTGTGATCCTTGTATGCTTGTAGAAGAACCCGTGCAGGTGCTATGTGTTTCCCAAAAGCCTCCAGCAGCCTGTGATAGAAGCTCCATTGACAGGCTATCAAGTTAGTGACATCTACTTCCTTTCCCCTGTGTCACAGGTGCTGCGACAAGAGACTTTGGACAAAAATTGACTTGAGTAGGTGTAAGGCCATTGTACCCCAGGCTCTTAGTGGCATCATCAAGAGGCAACCAGTTAGCCTTGACCTCAGTTGGACCAACATCTCCAAAAAGCAACTGACATGGCTCGTTAATAGGCTGCCAGGTAGGTGAGCCAGCCTGCTGCTGATGAGGCTGCTACATGCTTCTCAGTGTTGCTTTAAGACATGCTGTCATTGCCTTCTGCTTAGCAAGAGGTATAAACCCAGGGCCATCCTAATGCCAGTCTCCAAGGTATCACTCTGGACTGGCACAACAATCACTCAGCTGGACAACAAAGAGAATGGGGCCAAGTGTTGCTGCCAGCCATGCAGGTCTCCTCAGCATAGCCACTGAGAAAACTTAGTCAGATACTGCCTTGACCCTTGTGAGCCACTGTTCCCTTCAGCATTTTGAACTCTTAAGAAGACAGGAAGTTACTCTTAGATTGCTCTGGTAGAAGCTAAGGAGATGTTTTAACACTGAAGCTAAAAGATGTCGCGCAGGATATTGTGGAAATCTTTGAGCTGAATTCCTAGGTTAGGACGTAGTCCTTGTCTCCCATTAGACTGGAAGTCTGTTCACCTTGCTCAAATCAGCCAGAAGCTGTGCAGAGTATTTTAGTGCTTGTCTCATTCCATCCATTGCAGGACTAAAAGACCTCCTCCTAGCAGGCTGTTCCTGGTCGGCAGTCTCTGCCCTCAGCACCTCCAGCTGCCCCCTTCTCAGGACCCTTGATCTTCGGTGGGCAGTAGGAATCAAGGACCCTCAAATTCGAGACTTGCTGACTCCACCAGCCGATAAACCGGGTATGCTGTAGGCTTAATTTCTGTGCTCATCTTGGGGTAGCTTTGTCTTTTGACAGACCTCATTCATCTTCAGAAGCTAAGGTAGTCTCAGAAATGGTGCTATAGGAGCACCAAATGAGGACAGTGGGGGACTGTGCAGTCACAGGTTAACTAAGTCAGGCAGATAATACCTACAGACAAGTCGATCTGTGGGTCAGTGGAGTGGGGCACAGAGAATAGAAGCCTGAGGAAGGCAGGGAAGGCTCCGTGGTTGAGAGATATCATGAAGCCGACCACATGTCCTTCTAGAAGAGTGTTGAGGGTGGGGAAGGGAAGGAGCCATTTCCACACCACAGACTTTGCTGTGTACACGAGGCATGATCTAGCGGCTGGAAAGACAGAAAACTTACCCAGTTTCCTAGAAACTAACCCCCCCACACTGCATGCTTCCTGAAGGCAGGGCTGGGTGTGGGCAGTTCTCCTTAACCCCTGCAAGGGGCCCTGGCCAGCAAGTAGCTGATGCTCCCTTGGGCTTTGGAGCTGGGTTAGAGACTTAGAATTTTGATCTAGGCCTTTTTTTCTTACCTGTGCAGGTCAGGATAATCGCAGCAAGCTCCGGAACATGACTGACTTCCGGCTGGCAGGGCTTGACATCACAGATGCCACGCTTCGCCTCATCATTCGCCACATGCCCCTTCTGTCTCGACTCGACCTCAGTCACTGCAGCCACCTTACAGATCAGTCCTCCAACCTACTCACCGCTGTCGGGTCTTCCACTCGTTACTCCCTCACAGAGCTTAACATGGCAGGTATGCTATGTGGCCTTTTATGATGAACAGTGCCCCTGCCTCCTGCAGATTCCAGCCCTTCCTAGAACTTGACCAGAAAACCAGAGTGACCTTGGGTCTGTTGATCAAACCATAATAACTTGTTTTTTCACATCTAGACAAAAATATGGATTTCTATTCCCCCATACCTCTTTTTTTTGAAACAGAATCTTACTCTGTGCCCTGGGTATAATACTATGGTGTCATAGCTCACAGCAACCTCAAACTCTTAGACTCCCAAGTAGCTGGGACTACAGGTGCTGGCTACAATGCCTAGCTAGTTTTTCTATTTTTAGTAGCAACTGGGTCTCACTCTTGATTAGGCTGGTCTGGAACTCCTAAGCTCAAGCAGTCTACCTGCTTCCACTTCCCAGAGTGCTAGGATTACAGGCGTGAGCCACCATGCCTTGGCCTCTCTCTCTTTGTTTTCAAAGAGACAGGGTCCCACTCTTTGCCCAGGCTGAAGCACACTGTTGTGATCATAGCTCACTGCAGCCACAAACTCCTGAGCTCAAGTGATCCTCACACCTCAGCTTCCTGAGTACACCACTTCCAGGTATACACCACTACACCACTGTGCCTTGCTGATTTTATTTTTAATTTTTTGTGAAGACAGAATCTTGCTGTGTTGCCCAGGCTGGGTTTAAACTCTTAAATTCAAGCAATCCTCTTGCCTTGGCTTCCCAAAGTGTGGGTATTTCAACCATGAGCCACCGCGCCTGGCCCCAGTCCGTTTTAGGGGACTGAGGCCTTAGTTAATTCAGGTGCTGACATGGACACCCATCATCCAGCTGCAGTTTGGTCAGCTTTACAGCCCTTACACTTGATGATGGAAATGAGACAGTTGGAGCCCTATAGAGGCCACATTGCTGGTGGCACTTCTGGTCTCTGAGCCAGATAGTTAGGGAACAAAGAAGACTTTTGTTTAGCAGTTTGAGGGGAGGAGGGCTAGGGGAATTGAATGGCATAGGAAATAAAGGCTTCTGTGGCTGTGTGTATGTGAGCATTATTCTTGTGGCCGCTTTCCCCACAGGTTGCAATAAGTTGACAGACCAGACCCTGATATACTTAAGGCGCATTGCCAACGTCACCTTGATCGACCTTCGAGGATGCAAGCAGATCACTCGGAAAGCCTGCGAGCACTTCATCTCAGACTTGTCCATCAACAGCCTCTACTGCCTGTCTGATGAGAAACTGATACAGAAGATCAGCTAAGACATACCCCAGCCAGACTGAACAGGAAACCGATCTTCCCCTGACTCCCCACCAAGGAGAGCCTCTCTCCCTGACCCTGCACGGGCTCTGAGGCCAGCATCACACTCCCTCTCTGCTCTCCTGTCCCTTGAGCCCTTCCGCTACAGGCAGGGTAGAGAGAGTGGTGGACCCCAGGCTTACCTGCCTGCTCCTCTCCCTCTAAAGAAAGGGAGTAGCAAATTGATCTGAGGGGAAAGCACAGGCTGTGCTATTGTGGTGCCTGCTCACCTGTTAGGAGGCTGGGCTCTCAGTTGGGAGGGGGGGGTTGTGCAACCTTCAACTGCACTGGGCCCCAGGCCCACCCTCCCTGCCCATGGTCCTCAGCAGTGCCTGGTTCTGAGCAGCTCCTAGGGAAGAAAGTGGCCCTGTCTCCACAGTCAGGTTCTCCTTGTGGTGTCCAGTGCGTGTCTCTCCTCCATCACTCTCCCGGCTTATGCAGGAGGGGGCTAGCAGCCCCAGAAATTCCAGACCCGTGCAGATCACTCTGGTGCTGTTGAGGTGTCCCCAGCCTCGCATCCATGTCCACTCTCCCTCCTGTCCGCTCCCCCTTTAGCTTGCTTCTGTCCAGCTCGTGCTCCTTCACATAATAAGGTTTCCCACCCAACTGTGTCCCAGACTACCCTCTAGTCTTTTTGAGGTCCTTATTGCACTTAATGGGGTTGAAGCTCTCCAAAGGAGCTGGAACTGTCTGCCCCAGGGACACACTCATTCCACGGCTGCCCAGGCGGATTCTGAGACAGGCACCACCTCCTTGTTTCCCCCTTCTCTTTTGCCTCCCATTGGCTGCCCTTTTCCATATGTCCTCATTCCTGCCTGAATAGGGCTTTCCCAGGATGCATGTCCTCAGAGGGAGCAGCCTGTCTCCCACCAGCTGGGGGAGCTGAGGACTGGGCAAATCTCTACCTGCCTCCTAGCAGGCTCCTCCAGGCCTCTGGTTTAGAGTAGGCCCCAGAGCCCGGGCCTGTGAATAGACCCAGCAGCTCACTGATCTGGCACCTTTGGGGGTGGGTGGGCAAGGGATCCTGCTTAGAAGCCAGTCACCTGCCCTCTGCCTGCAGCCATGGAAGGGGGTGTGCACGTGCCTCTGTGTGTGTGGCTGAGTGTGTTCTGTGTGTGTGAGGTGGGAGGTTGGGAGGGAGCATGGTGTCTCCTACTCCACCGCCCTTTGTTAAGCCCCATCAGCTGCCCCCTTTTACTTTGCATTGAACGGCCTGTCCAAAGATCCTCTCTCTAGGGCAGCAGAGAGCTTTTTGCACTTTAAAAAAAAAAAAAAGGAAAGAAAGGTCGGAATTTCTTCTGGGTCTATATTTAAGTGTGTGAGGAGACGCTCAGTGGCAGCAGCCTGTGGCAAGAGCTTATATGTGATAGATGCAAATTTGCACTCTGCTCCCCGACTGTAAGGATGTTGATAGCACAACCTCATCCCCGCCTTGTCCTCTAACTCCATCCCTTCCTGGCCCCTTTCCTGTAGCCCATTCTTAGGCTTTCCTCCTCCTGAAGCCCTACCGGGTGAGAGGACAGCCCAGGCACCAGGGGTCTGAAGTGTGAGTCACCCAGAGGAGAGATGCCAGCTGCACCCTGCCACTTCCAGAGCAATAGAAGCAGAGGGGTCCCCTCTTTGCCACCCAGCCCAGCTTTGACTTTGGCATTAACTGGCCGCCTTAGAGGAAACTGGGTCTTGGTAAGGGGTGGCATTTTGTCTGTTTCTTCCAATCTGCTGATTCTCTTGGCTGCACCTTAAAAATAGCAGTCTGCTCCTGTGACCCTCTCTGCCCCTTCCATTGGTCTCCAGGCCCCAGTGACCTGGGGCTGCAACTTTGAGGAAATGCCAGTGACTTATTCCAGAGTGCCTCAGTTAGGGGACTTCTCTGTAAAGAACCCTGGGTATGAGCAAAAACCTTATTAATATTATTGTTAATGACCTATAATTGGAAGCTTCCTGCCTTTTTTTGGTTGCTCCTGTGGAAAATACTGAAAAGATTACTTCATTCTGTTTTATTCTTTTTATAAAAGGGGAGGTGGAGAGACCCCTTCAGAGCAGGGATTGTGCCGGGAGAGTGCCTCTGACTTTGGGACATTTCATCCACAGAAATTTCCAAGCTGATGGTTTGTTTTGGGTTTTGGTTTTTATGTATGTTTGTTTTTTGGTTTGGAAAAACAAGCATTTTTACCGTGCACGTAAATTGGTCAGCAGAAAAGGGAGCCCAGGAGTGGCAGCGGATGGATGATGCCCTTGCTGGGTCTTACTTTTCTTTGGGACTATGAGGGGGAAATGATTTTTAGAGGTAAGGGTTGGTCCATATGGAAGAAAGAAGTATCTCTGTTGGGGAACAGAGTAACCTGGGGAGTCCATCACATTTCCTACGTCTGCTCTTAGATACGGCCTTGCCCGGAGAGCCGCCCTCCTCAGACTGCAGGACCAGACCCTGCCTCCATCTTCCCAAGCACCGGGGGCGAAAAACCACAAAGGAAAGGAAGAAAATTTATATATATATATATATAATATAAAATCACTTGGTGATTAAAAAAATAACTGCTCCATAAATAAAACTCCTAAAGTCACTATGTTTAAAGGGTTTGGTTGTGTTTTTTGTTTTTCGGAGAAATATTGTAAATATATATTTTTTGTTGCTGATTTAGCGTTAATCTCCAATGTTGTGCTAAAAAAATTTAAATTAAATGTAAGCATTAAGGAGTCTTATGCTATCTCAGTTGACACATTGGGGTTATTTTGGGCCAGGGAAGGAGGGAAGCTTGTTGGACTTTGTTTTGTTTTTCTACAAGTTCTCCATTATTGGTTTTAGAGAGAGCAAGGACATCTATCCTCTGACACATGGGAATGGGAGATATTTGTGTAATAAAATTTTGAAAAGACAAAAAACAAGTAGCCTCCAATGGGAAGTATTTTGATTTGGGATTTTTTTGTTTTTGTGGGGGGTGGTGTTTTTGTTTTGTTTTGTTTTTTAAATAAAAAGGCTTTAAACACAAAAATCGATACTTTTTCTCCCTTGCTGTGTGTGTGCGCGCAGCGCGCAAATGAGTCAGAGGTCATGGCCAAGGCCAAGACCAGGGACTGCCTGCTTTGCCTCTGTGAGCAGGAGCAACAGAACTGTGGAATGTCTACTATTTGGATTTCTTTAGGGTTTTTTTTTTAACATTAAAAAGCAACACTTGCTTCCAGAAATATAACATTTATTTCATCAAGATAAATTTTCTAATGGATGTGAAAAATTTAGGTGTGAGATTACTTGATCCCTCCTTTCCAAATAAAGTCAGTGCTTAGAGCAGCCCTGCAGAGGTGTCCCAGTGTGGGCCTTTGAGGACAGGTGGGGATTTCTCATCTCCCTCCCCCACCCACTGCCAGGCCATTTGCCACAACCAGCCTTCACCCACCAATGCTGCAGAAAAGTTACCAAGGATGGTCTAGGCCAGATGTGCTCTGACAGCATTTGTCCCCTCTTCCCAGCTGCTGCTCATCACACAGCACATCGAGTATGAGCTTTCAGCCTTTCAGCATGTGTCAGGGTCTACTGAGAACCACATATCTCAAGAGGACTGAGGTCTTAATCCAGAGGTCCTAAATAGCCTTTCTTCACTACCTTCAGAGGAGCTGGGAGGTCCCTGCCTGTCGTGTTCCTTGAACTGATAAAGATCGTCTGCCGTTCTATATGGCCTAGAAACAGGGCCTTTGACTAGGGGCTGATTTAATGCTACTTTCCTGAGGATGGATGCAACTATGTTTAGGTATTACCAGAGAAGACTTAATTTTGTGTCCTAAATATCTCAGAAACCTATCAGCCTCTTAGTACCCTCATCCCTGCCATGCTTGTGGAAGCCACCATTGTCTAGAAGCTCAACCACAGCAACAGCCCTGAGTGGCCTCCCAGCCTCCAGTCCTTGTATTTTAACATACCTGTTAAAAATACAGGTTTGGGCTCAGCGCCTATAGCTCAACCAGCTAAGGCGCCAGCCACATACACCTAAGGTGGCGGGTTTGAATCCCCAGCCCGGACCTGCCAAACAACAATGACGGCTGCAACCAAAAAATAGCTGGGCGTTGTGGCGGGCGCCTGTGGTCCCAGCTA